ATCACAACCACTGAAGGCACCACAACCACTGAGAGTATTACAACCACTGAAGGCGTAACAACCACAGAAGGTATCACAACCACTGAAGGTATCACAACCACTGAAGGTATCACAACTACTGAAGTTACCACAACCACTGAAGGTATCCCAACCACTGAGAGTATTACAACCACTGAAGGCGTAACAACCACAGAAGGTATCACAACTACTGAAGGTACCACAACCACTGAAGGCACCACAACCACTGAAGGTATCACAACCACTGAAGGCACCACAACCACTGAAGGCACCACAACCACTGAGAGAGTTACAACTGCTGAAATCATCACAACTACTGGAGATACCACAACCACTGAAGTTATTACAACCACTGCACAAATTACATCAACAGAGGGAATTACAACCACTGAAGCTATTACAACCACTTTTATCACCACAACTAATGCAGTTGACCCTTGCGATTCTAGACCTTGTCAAAATAATGCAGCCTGTTATAGTGATGATAACAACGAGGACTTCAATTGTCTCTGCTCTTCAGGTAACAACTGTGTTTCTATCTGTCATTAAGATATTAATAGCAGGAGTTTATATTTACCAGATATATATTTCTTATACATGTTTGGCAAAGAAGAAAATTATATTTAAAAAATTGTACAGAAAGTTATCTCAATACTTGTTTTTTGCTGACCCCCCCCCCCCTTGCAAAATAAAAGACGTTAAATACGGATAGCCTACCTGATTAAAATTTTTGTTTTGTAAGACGCCTTGACCTTTTAGTTGCAAAAAAGTATTTTTTTATTATGCTCCCACCATCATTATATTCTATTTTGTTCGTAACAATGCTATATTTGAGTCATATCACTGTCTATTCTCTTCATACAATAGGGTTCCACGGGCAATCATGTGAAACCAACACAGATGATTGTCTGGTACCAGATGGACACATTGGACGATGTTCATCAAATGGAATCTGCATAGATCTAGTCAATAATTGGCGCTGCGAATGTTTTAATGGTAAGTACATGTAGTTAATATGATACTGTACGTGTTATGGGTTGGGTACTATGGTGTATTTTGCATTATGGTCTCATAATAAATAAATATCTTAGAAAATGGAGTGCTCAGTAAAAAAAAAAAAGAGCATACTTTTATTGTACACATTCTTCTGTATTATGTTGCTATCTTAGTTGTCCAAACAGCATTCATTAAATATTAAGTAATATAAACATCTTAGCATGTATTTGAACCTGTATATTTGTATATTCTACGAAAATCATTCAATTTAATTGTCAACGATGCTGAAACGCGTATTGATATGATATTATTGCAAGTCTTCTTTCGCCAAAAAAAAAAAAAGTTATCTTTTTTATGTTTGAACTGTGCGACATATTCTGAGAGTATAATATTTTCAGGATGGGCCGGAAGAAGCTGTCAAGTCAACATTTGGTGTTCTGGACCTTTACGCGACCCGTGCAGACCCCATGGATACTGTAGCCAAACCACGGATTCGTACACTTGCAGCTGTTTTAACGGTAAATACCATCATACATGTCTGTACAGTCTAGGGGACCATTCCCATAACCCTGTCGTGTAGCAGATCGATCATATCCGAAGGGATTCTCGCTAAATTGCTTTCTGTTTAAGCGTGTACAAAAGTTAATTGCCCACTAGTAGCTTCAGTGGGCGTGCCAGGCATTTAAGCCGCTTAAACTTAATGCAATTCAGCAAAAATCCCCTCATCAGATTGATCTTGCTAGCATGATAGGTTTATGGGAAACCAGTCATTTTCTAAAAGCACAATTTGCATCATTGTAATAGCTAACTACGTATGATATCAGTGATGAGATTGAACATACATGTACTTAAGTATGTAAATACATATAACCGACTGAATTTGATTTAAACAAATGCGCATAATGTAAAAGTTTAAAAAAAGCATGGTATTTAAAAATGGATTTGTAAGATTAATCGCTATCATCATTAAAAAACATTTTCTTTCAGGTTATACGGGATATAATTGCACAACTAATATAGACGATTGTCTTGGTCACGAATGCGAGAACGGTGCCACTTGTGTGGACGGAATTGGCTCTTACACCTGTCAGTGCGTCACAGGTTAGCAATTAGAAGGGTGATTAGAGAGGATGTGTGTTGGGTTGGTTGCTCCCTTTCTCATTTTATATATATATATAAATTTTAAATGTATTCGGCAGAATATAAATTATTGAGCACATTATTTCACGCCCATTTCGACTAGATAATATGTTTTAACATTTGTATAAAAAAGGCTACACAGGTGCCACGTGCCAGACGTTGATTGACAACTGTGCCTCCAACCCCTGCAGTGAACACGGCACGTGTGAGAATGGTATCGGGACATACACATGTAACTGTGCAGAGGGGTTCACGGGGAACACATGTGAAACACGTAAGTCTCAATTAAGTGCAGCCATCTGTAGATTTTTTTTGAACTGATATATTTTTTCTTCTCTGCCAAGATATAATGACTGTGGGACAATGACCGAATTTGCACAGTTTGCATCCTTTCCTTACCATCCCCAGAAATGCACTGCATGACGTCACGCCTAGCCCACTGCGCATGCGTGCATTTTTAATGAGTTGCTAGATTGCCATAGGAAAATGAATGGGTTCGCGATTCGTGGGTAATTCGTGAGAATTGACAAACTAACGGCCTGATGCCAATAGACAGCAACGCTGTGCTATGCTTCAAGCAACTCCTGACCAAATATCGCTAGGGTTTTTAAAAAAATTCTGTTGTACACACGTACTAAGAATTTTGCCGTATATTGCCTAGACTACCCTCAGCAAAACGCAAATATTTTCAGTTATAGTGATTTTAGACGGTAGATTCACTCAGAAACAAAGGAAAATTAATTCGTTGCCGATAGCACCAGCTGATNCGCTAGGGTTTTTGAAAAAATTCTGTTGTACACACGTACTGAGAAGTTTGCCGTATATTGCCTAGACTACCCTCAGCAAAACGCAAATATTTTCAGTTATAGTGATTTTAGACATTAGATTCACTCAGAAACAAAGGGAAATTAATTCGTTGCCGATAGCACCAGCTGATAGCAGTAACATACAGAGTCTGATTAAAAAATTTCATGGCAATTGAAGATTTTTTACCACTGTACAATGGAGTCCAAAAAGAGCACTTGGCACAAATGTAAAACTGCCCAGTGCAAGGCCAAGAATTCAATCAGTATTTTCAATCATATTATCAGATTCTACATAAATTGACTGACCATATCACTACTCAGTATTTAACTAATCTCTTAATCCAAAATTCCTATAATCATTTAAGAATTATGCAAAATTCTTCTTTCAGATTGCTATTTATTTATATTTTTAATGCTGCAACTGTTCCAAAATAATCTTGTAGTAAAGGAAAAATGCAAATAAGAAGTGGAAGACCAATTTTACCCACAGTATTCAATTATTTGAATATAAAAAGAATAAGATCACGATTTAACAAATTAAAATAATCTTTCATGAACTCTTTCATGAATAACATATTAAACAAAAATGAAAGTTATAAATCTGTGGTAATGGCTTATTCTGGAATATATGACCTCTGAACATCATCAGTACCTGACTTGGTACAGTATAGTTACCACTTGGATACAGAGTTAGATTTAATAATGTAACAATAAGAACAATATATATTATAATAATAAACTTCTCTGCACATATCAGACGCTTGTTACCATGAACTAACACTACTTGACAATGGGCTGAGCACTTATCACAGAGTCTGTGTGCGATGCCATTCTTGTGCTGTGATTGGTTAGTTGAGTCACGTGAAGCCCTACTGTTGCGCCCTCGCGTATCGCGTAAATGCTGCACATTTCTGGCCATGTTTTTAATGTATCAAGTTTGGTTTGAAAAAAAATTCTAGAAAGGAAGAAAAAAACAGTAACAGTGGTTTTTTGAGACAAGTGGCATAAAATCTGAATCTGACAGACTGGTAAGGGGGGATGAGGGAGCAGGAATAGCAAGTTGTGGAGGGGCAAGAAAAAAAGAAAAAAAACTGAAGATCATTGATTGAACAACATGCTATGCGACCCTGTTTTAATTGCAATTAGTACTTCTGTCCTTAGTATGGAAAATCTCCTGTCAAATTGGGGTCCATTAAGTTCAACTTCTATTCGACATATAATCTTGACGTGAGGATAATGATGATGTGACATGCACGCCATTCCATCCTGATTTGCAGACCTTGTATACGGATGTTACACAACCTTGTCTTGTCATGCCAGGTTGTTCCTGATGGAGGGAAAACAACAAGAGATTGAAACGAGGACAACTTGAACAGACCTTTTTTTCATCCTTATGACATAATTTATATTTTCTGTTTCTTCATTTGCATACACTGGTATAAGATGTCCCCCCCCCCTCCCCACCCACCCACCAACCATACCCTGCCAACCATTTCTAATTGTTTCACGTTGCCCTTAAGACCCTCTTATATTGAATGTTATGAATTTTAACAATTAAACTTTATCAGCATAGGGTTGTTTATTGAACATGGACATTCTTGGGGGGTAACCTCAGGTTTCATGAACTGCTTCTGTACAAATGTCAAGAATGTTGATTGTATCTCCACTTTGTTTAATTCAAGGGTAAGTTAAGGTTAAGGGCAAAGCTGAAGATATGAAGCCATAACTGTTGCATTATTGCTACATTTCATCTCTCTCTCTCTCTCTCTCTCTCTCTCTCTCTCTCTCTCTCTCTCTCTCTCTCTCCATTGTGCTTGGATGTGACAAGAGAATGTGTTTTATACATGTTCCTCAATAATCTTGTCAAAACTTAAAATTATGGGTAGTACTTGAAAGCATGAAATGCATACTATGCTTAAGGTCTACCCAAACTGTCAATGTACCCATTCTCCACCAATGCATTCATTTATTCGCCAATATAACCCACCTATCCACCCATCCATCCTCTTCCTCTTTTGTTATTTTTTGGCTCACTAACACTTACATAATTCACAGCAAACTACAGCAGTATCACTACGACTGGGCTCCCATACTTAGATCGATCTAAAAGAATCAATCCATCTCCGATGGGTTTCTCATTAAACTGCTTTCAGCTTAAGTGGCTTAGATATCTGGCATACCTATGAAGCTGCTAAACAATAATTAATTACTCCTAGCAACTTCAGTAGGCATGACAGTCATTTCAGCCACATAAGTTGATTGCAATTTAGCAAGAATCCCCTCTTGGCGACATGCAGTTTCTTGATTTCCCCTCCCATCTGAACTTGTTTATGATATGTAACCCAATATGTGATTGCTTGTTAACCAGTTACAGATAATTGGTTTTTTTGTTTTAGAATAATTCATCCTGTTTGGTCGCCATAATGACCACTGATTTACGTGCTAAAAGGCTCAACTCCTATTAATATGCTGAAGAGTAGATTATTTCAGCTAGGTCTTGATTTACCTTGCATTTTTTCAAAGATAATTCACAATTGAAGAGCAAATTTTTCAGCGTGGTGGTTCCTCTTTATTACCACTGATGTGTATTAGCAGATCATTTAATACAGTTACAGAAACCAGTGAAATGATTTTGGATGATTTGGTCAGATGTAATTTTCATTTTAAGTTTTATACAACCCTGTAAAGACTCTTATACAACCATGAATTTGTCGCAGTGCAATGCAGTTAGTGGTTTTGCAGCAGAAAATGTGGTATAGAACCATCATCATCATTAAGGTAAATGGTTGCAATCCTTTTTGGATATCGAGCTACATAACCCAACTTAACCAGCTAGCTTGCAAGTTAAATCACGTTGATCCTGGATTTAAATTATTTCAAACATCTAAAGCTTGCATCTTCTTTGGTCAAAGCATGGTCTTGTTGTTCGGGGACTTTCAGAATAAGTTAGGCCACAGCAGACTAACTTCATAGGGACTGGCTGAATGCAATCAAATTAACAGGCTAACACACCTCCTCTTGTTTTCAACATACTCATAAAATTTCTTTGTATTCTATTCATCACAAGGAGGAGAGCTGATAGCTGTTTTCAAGATATTCCTTGTGATCTATGTTTAGTCAAGCATTAATCTCTCTCCCTCTTCCTTCCTCAATTTCCCTTTCTCTTTCTCTCTTTCTCCCTTCTTCACTTTCTCTCCTCCCTCTCTTTCTCTCCTTTTCTCCCTTCCTCAATTTTCCTTCCTATCTCTCTCTCTCTGTCCCTCCCTCCCTCAATTTCACTCTTTTTTTCTCATTTTCTCTCTCTCTTCTCTCTCTCTCTCTCTCTCTCTCTCTCTGTCCCTCCCTACCTCAATTTCACTCTTTCTTTCTCATTTTCTCTCTCTCTTCTCTCTCTCTCTCTCTGTCCCTCCCTCCCTCCCTCCCTACCTCAATTTCACTCTTTCTTTCTCATTCTCTCTCTCTCTCTCTCTCTCTCTCTCTGTCCCTCCCACCCTCCCTCCCTCCAGTAGTTAATAACAACAACAAGTGCTGGGTCTATTAAAGCCGGGATAACGAGGAGTCTGGAGGTGATCTCAGGAAATTCCTCTGAAGCCTGCTCCCAGGTCTGTGTCCAGCCAAGCATGCCCATAGCCAGCTGGACCGCATTACAATTTGCGTTCTGGTAGACTGCCACATCTGCTAGGCTCTGTTCACTTCAGCCATTTTAAACCTCGCTTGAAGCGGTCTAAGGCTCTTTATTCATTTGACTGAATGTGTGATCTATTCATTCATGCTGCAGATCTAATAACAGGTCCATTCCCTGATTTTAACCTCTAAAGATCTCCTGAACCTGAATGGCACCAGTTCTGACTACATGGGAAAAGCTGTTCTAGATATGTCTGTGAGCACATTCATAAATGTCTTACCAAAGGCTAGCTGTCTTGAAAAGGCTCCAATGCACTGCAGATGAGAAACAAAAATTTATTTTACAGTGCTGTAAATTAATTCATGTATCTTTGTGACAGATAAGCTGGGTGTTCTTGTTTGTACCCAATAAATTTTGTTTTACTATCCGGAAATGCAAGTCACATTAATAAAAAATTTACATCTATTAATCTACATTCATCTATCTATTCATCCCCCCCCCCCTTTGAGGTGTGTTAGCCAGGGCTGGTCTTTAGTTAAAGCATGTAGAGTTTCTAGACTAAATAATAATAATAATAATCTCTATTAGTTCTAGCACAATTTTTACAAAGGCTATGACCAAGCAAATTCATAAGTCGCATATATAATAAAATAAGTGATGTAAAATATTTAATATATATACATGCCCAAATATAAATTATGATTTTCAGCCATGCAGTGGAACATGTTAGGTTTTTACAAAGGTTAAAGTAATTCTCTCTAACGTGGTATTAACTGTCATTAGCTTAGATATCTACATTATTACACTTAAATAGGTACATCATAGTTAGCGCTACAC